TGCTTATGGGCATCTGGAACATCTCACCATCTCCTACTTTGTTTTATTATTTATGGGAGATGCTCTCAATATAATATAGGGATAAGTAGACTGTATTCCACCACAGAAATTTGAAATTACAGTCCCTCCCCCTATAAACTGCATCCTGTTTATAGATTTGGCATCGATTCACGGTCAGGATTCATTCCACCTGTAGGGTGGGGCTAAGATTTGTTGAGGTGGGCTGAAYTATGGTTTTCAAAACCGAACCGGACCAGATAGTTGGACCGGAAACTGGTCACGTTTCCCCTCAAAACCAGATTTTCTCAAAAAAACGTTGCTCAACCCAGTAACCGAACCCCTGACYGGTTCGGTCTTCGAGTGTGCGCTGTGTGAGGAGCAGACCCCAATTCGGGCATCTGTTGATCCATGCACTGTCCCATCCTTTCCACCCTTCATCTTGAGCTGAGTACCTGAATTGGTGTTAATCTTTTTAAACCCTGCTGACCGTTGTGCCCAGGAACCGATCAGGTACTAGTTCTAGTTCTGTTTCAGTCCTGAATTGTCATTTTCCTAAAAACCAATGTTTTAAAAGTTGATCTGGAATCTGAACTTCTTTGGCCCTTGGATTTCGAATCAGCAGTTTGACCATCCGGTTTGAATGGATTATTCATTTTAATTTAAAAAATTAAAAATTAAAAACTAATTAAAATAAAAAGGCCAAAAACCCTTATCTAGGTCAACAGGTCGATAATTCGACTACCCAGGTCAGTGAATCACTAACCGAGTCAATAGTTTTGGCCTAAGAACAGTTTTAAGGTGAAATGTAACCGGTTGCCTAGATGGTTCCTGGGTCAACTGGTCCAACCATCCAGTCTGATTCAGTTTTCAAAACCTTGCCAAAAACTGTTAATTTGGTGAATAACCTACTGGTTGGGGCGGTTGAACCATCGATCCATTTAACCCAAATAATAGTTTTTGGCCAATTTTTTTCTTAATTATTTTTTATTTTTATTTTTTTTAAGCATCAGGCTGATTCAAAGCCCAGAAACCAATCACYAAAGTGGTTTCAGTTATGAATCGGTTTTTAAAACATGGTTAAAAAGTTAAAAGCTTTTTTTGATAAATAATGTTAAAACTTGATAGAACAGAAACAGCTCTTGATGATGATAGATAGAGAACAAACTAACATTGTTTTCAAACCATTAAAAAAACAGAGACAATCTATTTATAAAGGAATTTCTTTATGATGCCAAACAATCTCAAGATGGGACCTACAAATTAAACAATTCAGATTGTTAGGAAGTATATGATATGTTCACATTTAATGATGTAGCCCATAATATATCTAAAGCATGGTAATAGCACAAGGGACCACTTCGTGTGTGTGTGTGTGTCCATATTAGATTGTTTCTCATATTTAAGGATCGTTTGGTGCAGAACCAACAGTTTCATTAATGAGCCCGGATCTGTATAGCTGCACATCATTGCTGTCTCCATGCTAACATGTTTGAGATGTGCAGCCATAAATTATTTGGCTACCAACATGTTGGTGGTAGATCTGACTCCTCTTTAATTCATATTGAGATAACAGAATTAGGTGCTGCATAGATAAGAGGGTTGGTGTAATATTTGGGTTGGCCCGAATTAATATTTTACACTGCTTTGGTTTTGTGCCCTTGAATCATGTTTATTCAAATTTTGACAAAAATCTAATATGAATTCATCCAAATTGGAGATCGGATTCAGCGTTCACACCGTCCTCATAACTACTTGCAACTGTGCATTTCGAGTATCTCTCTATGAACAAAAATATATAAATATTTTCAATACATAATTGCAGGACGGTGTGAATACGATCTTGTGAGGACTGAATCTGAATTCCCCAAATTGCATCCCATGAAAGTTAGGCTTCTATCTGGTCCACCCCTCCCAAGGCCCCAAGTAGCTACAACTAACATTGGGTAATGGCCCTTTTCAGGATAAGATAAATGGCGATGCATGGTCCATGCAAACTAGGCTTTGATGAACTAACTCTTGGGGCTGATTCGTTAACCAATTAATAGCAGAGTAGGTTTTGGGTTTAATTCCGAGTCAAGACAAAGCACCTGTGACCGTGGCTTAAGCATCATTCCTGATTCCACCAATGCATCAAAATCAGAGTGCAACTTTAATGAATGGTTCTCTCTCATCTCATTTGGGTTGTCAGGCAAATCGACTCATATAGCTTAGGTTCAATGAACACTCTTTTTAAGAGATGGCAGCCTTCCCCGACATCATTCTTGTCTGGACACTGTAGTGCAAAAGGCAACAGTTAACTAAAGAAATTTCACTTATTCTAACCGTATATCATGTCCCCATCTGAGACTGAGACTGGAGTTTGTGTCCAAATTCACAGTCATGAGGTTACCAGAGTTAGAGATGGTCAATGATATGATGAGGACGGACACAGCACTCATTTTGTTCTTGAGGTTACTGAACAGAAAGGGTACTACTTTTTGAACTCGCCAAATTCAAGTCATATGGACTTCTGGGCTTGCCTAAAGCTGCCATCATAGAGGCCACTAGTAAGTAAAATCTCAGGCTGAATGGGAAGTAGGTTGGAGTTTGAAAGCAACCACTTTGTTTAAAACTCGTCAGAAAAGGCAAAAGAAAGATTAGGTCCATATACAATCTTACTCCTCCCAAAGACTCAGGATGGCCGGGACCATTTGGTGTAAAATTTGATGTTGTTTCTCTATGGTTTTCGACTTTTTGATATGGAGAGACTTCACATAAATTTTATACAAATTTCTTTTTGTTTTCTAAACAAAAATCACACACACTCACAAACGCATCCTAATGTTTTTTTTTTTTTTTGGAATATCCCTATTACTTAATGGTAGGGGTGTCAATGGACTGGTTTTGGAATGGATTAGTCCGTCCAAATCAAAATCAATTTAGACGTATTGGACAGACCAATACATTGAATTGGATCAGCTCAGACTTAATAGCCCAAAGTATTTATTGGATTGGATTGGACCTGGTCCATCCATAATGGATTTATATTGGATTGGGTCCACTTGAACCAATATCCAGTCCACTGATAAAAGATAAGAATACATGTGTTAATAAACCAGGTTGGGTTGGAATCAAGGTTCAAAATATTGATACGCCGATAGGGGCGTATCAGGCTATATCGGTACTTTTCTTTACTTTTTTTATTTTTTTAAAAACCGGTTCAGGAGGGAGTGGTTTAAGACTCCTCCACCCCCTGAACTGGTTATAACTCCAATACACCCTTTGTAGRTGCATATCGGAGAGCTCCCAAAACAATACGTATCGACCGATACAGCCCGATACATGTCAATTGATACTTTAAACCTTGATTGAAACCAATCTAAATTAAAATCAATTTGAACAGATTGAACSATTCAGGCATTAAATTGGACCAGTCCAAATTGATCTAAAGTATTCATTGGATTGGATTGGACCTGATCCATCTGCAATAGACTTATATTGAATCAGAAGGGATTGGACCAATTGATACCCCAGTGATTTTTGAGCGTACCAATGTTTTAATCAAACACCAGCTTGATGTGATATTTTGTCTTTTCCACCAAAACACTGGCGTGTTAAAAAATCACTTGAGTGACTCGAGTTTGTCCTGCAACGGTGATCGCAGGAAATTAATCTCACTTAACAGGCATGGTAGCTTTGTTGGATGCCTGACGTATGATTATTAGGGCTGCTTTTCTACAAGAAAAGAGAAAAGTCTTTAGGCCCATTTGGGACTTGGGACAAGGCTTAGTTGATATAAAGATGATGATGACAATGGCAACCTCATTTACATAGTTTTAGTCGTAGATCAATCAGGAACTTTGCTGGTTGGGAGTAGGGCTGCAAATGGATTGAACTAATAGATGTGTTTTCATCAAAATTTACGGAGGTTTTGTTTGGTCAAAGCCTTTCTATTATCATGTCTCTCTAGCATCATACATTTTTCCTTAATAAATGAATTAAAAATGGCTTAGATATTGTATCTTATGAACCAAATTAAATAAAAATTACTTGTATGAAAGTCGAACCTATAAAAAAATTATTAAAAAGACAACATTCAAATTACTAATAAATACAATATAAATTTTAAGTATATTTGAGCACATATATTTAAATTGAATCAAAACAGATTATATGAGATAGGATAGGGGTGAATCCATATTCAATCCAGTTTAAAAATGGATTGAATTCGGGTCACCCTTAATCGAATTTGAATGGAAATTTGGATGATCTTAAATATTGAGCCTAAAACCCAAAACTAGACCGGGCCTGAGGTCAAACAGTCAAACCCAATCTTTTTAACCCAGGCCCAGCCTGAACTGAAAATTGACAAACAAGTTGGGCCTGGGCCTGGGCCTGGGCTTGGGCTTAGTCTCAGGTTGGTTAATTGGGATCAAATAGGCCTAATTTAGCATCAATAATGCAACCTTCAAATAGGCCTAATTTGGCATCAATAACGTACCCTTCAAATAGAAACTTTATATATTTTACATACAAGTATATACACATACATGTGTATGACATGAGATCGACTTCTATCAGTGAAAATCTGTGCCCACACCGTTCTAACAGCCTCTTACAACCTTGCATTGAGAATATCTCTCCATAAAATAAAGCACACAAGTACAGAGATATTCTCAATGCATGGCAGCAAAGGCTGCTCGAATGGGCTTTTCCCTGACTGAAGCCGAAAACATATGACATGCATATACATATATTTATTAATGCATACATGTGCAGTCAGACCAGGCTCAGGTCCAGGCTGGGTAGAATCCAGTCTCGGGCTCAAAAGTAGTAAAAGGCTGGGGTTTTAGGACCAGGCCAAACTAAAGGACCAAAAATCCAAGCCTGTGCAAAAATGCAGACTAGATCAGTTCAGGCTTGGGTTGGGCCGAATAAAGGCCGTTCCTGATCGTCATATAAAAATGAAGGCTGAAACAAGAAGCAAAATTAGAAGGCAGAAAAGCATTGACATCTTATACTTCCTTCAGAATAACCATGGCATATAATGCAATAACCACCAAATTTACTTTCAACAGGGGATTAAAAGTTTCAACTTCGAATTAAAATTCAAGTCTACAAAATAAAACACGATCTCCTTACAAGCTACCAATCCAATCTTTTTGTCATTTTGAATTTCTCAGAAACGATCTTTACAACATACCAGTCTCATGGACACCGTCTTGTCAGCATAAGAGCATTCATTACCAGAGAAGCTTAACTAGTAATATGCTTTCCGGGGATTATTCTGCAACACAAGTAACAAATGAATAAGGAGAGTTGTTTTTTCTTTCTTCCTTTTTTGTCACAAATAAACCAAGTAACCAATATATCTAGTAAATCACTGGAGAAATCTTTCAGAACAAGCCATTGAAGAATTCAAGACAACCATGACTTTACCAGGGGATTAGGCCTATAGCGGTAACCAAGCATCATTCTCTTCTTATACTGTTCATAAATATCATCATCAGCGGTTACCTCGCCAGGTTGTGCCGCTCCAACTCCCAAATTATTCGATTTCACATTACCTGCAATAATTGGATCTGCAATACCACTTTTGGAACTCCCCAGACCCTCACCTAAAGCCAACAAAGCACCAAGCATCAGAATCCAAAAACACATTCCTACTATCACAATGTCTTATTTGCAACATGATTGCATAAAAAGATGGCATTGTCATTAAATGAAAACAATTACAAATAACTTCTTTGGGTGCATAAACTGAATCAAATTAAAAACAGAAAAAATAATGAACTTCAGTATTCCATTTAAACTTTTTTCAGTGTGATAATGTCACTTATCAGCTCGCAAATTATGACATCACATCAAATCTTGGAAAATATCATCTATAACAGAACAAAGGATTACCTCCACTCACATTAGGCAGGCTGTCTAGTGGACCATGCACTAGGTCTCAAGTTAATAAGTTTCAGTTTGGGAAGAGTGCAAATACAAATATGTACAGTGCAAAACCTTGTATTTGCATTCTTCCCAAACTGACCTAAAAGACAAAGGACCTTTAAGCCTCATCCCTTAACAGTCAGGTATGTCATGAGATTAGAGCTACAAGGAATGTCAAAAAGGCAGACGTGCATATTTGGGACATGGCTGAAAAAGAAGTTAATAGGCAGTTTACAAGAGCAACCTTCAAGTTCAATTTATCATTTAAAGGTGAAACGTGAAAGTGTTCCTGAATCAGCATTGATGGCTGACGCGTTAGTCATTCTCCAGTGTTGATGACCAGTTGCCAACRTGTGTGCCTGCTGTGGCTCTGGCAAGGCAATCGCATTCATAGGGCTAGTAGGTCAACTGTCTCAGCAAATCAGGGGCTTAGAAAAGAGGGCAAATCCTTTGCTGAGGCTGCCAGTTTTTCCAACTGGCCTCTTCACTGCATCACTGAAGTTTTCAGGGGAGAAAAAGCAAACTATATCATTGTTCAGGGAGAAGGCAACAATTCTCGGTTGCAGCTTCTAAGATGCTGTCTAGTTGGTAATTTTGAAGATGACCCACCATTCTCTCACTTGAGGATGTAGCCTTGAAAATGCGAAGGAAATGGAGAGTTCTGGTGCCGATTGAAGTTAAATGTCTCAGCTCTGGGGCTCTGCTTTTTATTCCCCTGTCAGATCAGGAAGCATGTAGGGGTGGGGTGTATGATGGAGGAAGAATGGACAGGATCCTATTAGATAAGGGTGTTCAGGTTGCCTCTGCATCTTTGGAGTTCTGCCATCTTTGAAGCGATAGGGGAGTTGTGCCGTGTGTGGGGCTTTATTCAAGCAGATTTCTCAAACTGGGGAAAGCAAACTTGTGAAGGGTGAGACTGGAGGTGAAGCAGAAAGATATACCTTGCCTTCAACAGTCAATATTTTGGGGGGAAATGCAGTTTATGGTGTGGCGGTCTGGCAAGACGCAAGAGTTCTTACCGGGGGTGATTCCTATAGTGGAGAATCATTGTGACCTTTTAGAAGTTCTATGGGAGGATGTAGCAGACCTGGTGGCCTCGGGGGGTAATGGTGAGGAAGGAATTCTCTCCTTATAGGTCCTCCTAAATGACTGGTGATTCCAAGGCCAGGGTTGCCTCAGCGGAGTGGGGTGGGTTAGGACTGGCGAGATTCCACTGGGGAGGGGCAGCGGCAGCGAGGCAGAGGGTGTTGGACAGAAAGAAGATTGGGGAAGTGTCATTCTAGGGAGACTGTTGCAGAGGGGGAGTTCCACCGGCGACTGGGGAAGGAGGTGGTGGTGGAGAGCTTAGGGGAGTCAGGGGAGGTGAGGGAGGGAAGAGAGTGTACGGGCAGTTTCAGTGGAGGGGGTTCCCCATTGGCTCCGCTGACATGTGGAGGTAGGCAGAGAGAGCCAACTAAAGACGTTCCAGGGGTCTTTTTCAATTTTCAAACACATCAGGGAGGTGGCGGTATTCAGGTGGACCCTGCGGTCTTGAGAAATGTGGTCCGAGAAACTGTTCTGGACACAATTGTGCCCTTTTTTCGAAAAATAAAAGGAGACAGGGGCAATTGGACTGTGTGTTGGCTAAGGCAATACAATGGTTGAAGACTTTGGACCTGTTCCATCAGTTCTCCTTTAAKAACTTTTGGAGAAACTGGTTTTTTTTATGAATGCTTTTGGAGAAACTGGTTAGCAATAGTGAGGTGCTCTTCCATCAAGAGAAGGGTAATCCCAAGTCCGGCTGAAGGTTCCCTGAAGCTGAACTTCAATGGTAGCAGTTTGGGCAATCCAGGGCCATCTGGATTTTTTTTTTTTTTTTTGGGGGGGGGGTGGGGGGTTCTGGATTTGCAAACCAAATGGGGGTACAGCAACTAATTATTGAGGGGGACTCGAAGGTGGTGGTGGGCTAGCTAATGAAACTTGATGAGACTGTTTGGTGCTATAAGAAAGAAGTTAAGAAGATTATATGTCGGTCTCTTGTGTACATCACAACTCTCCACTCTCCCTAATCCCTCAAAATTTGGTGTTTTTTTTAGAATTTTTGAAAAAAAAAACAAAAAACATTGAATGTGGGGCTAGTAATCAACTCATCCAGAACTGATTCAGTTTCCTTTTTATCAGGGAACTGAATCTAATCATCCTTGTAGAATATGGGGCATATTTAGCACCAGTTCATGCATCATATGGGCCACTTATGGTAAAAACATAAAAGAGGAATATCCCAGATTTAGCTCAGTTGCTCTTACATCAAACCACCACCAAGTCACATCATCAGTTTTGGTATTTATTGAATTGGAGACCCAAACAGCAATTTTTTTCAAGTGGCATACCAACAGAGAGGATCTTAAATTTTCCCAAGTTGCAGACCGATACAAAAAGTTCAAATATTTGTTTCATGTAGGACCACAACAACAAATACACCAAGAAAAGTGAATACCTTCTTTCCAACCCATTTTAGATAGAAGCTTATGTCCAACATTGTCAGCTTGAATTTTAGCCTTTTCTGCAGCTTCTTTGGTAGCTTTCTGTGCAGCAGCATCATTGCAACTAGACAAGAACTTTTCCAGCTCTTCACGTGGTATAAAATCACCCATATGATGGCCTTTTTTAACTGGAGCTGCCATTATAAACAAGAAATGCCTCAGAGGAAGTGATTTTGTAGATAAAAGCAAATAAACAAGATCTTATGGTCAAATAAAAATAGCAAAGGTTGAATCTTAAACAAAAGGTTGTTTTCCAGAAGGTAAAGGCACATTAAGCAACTCAAATCCAGTGGTCCTAGTCCTCCCCCTGTCCTACCAAGTATGGGTGTCATTTTCTTTTTTGGGTACTGACTTGTGTGCTATGCCTGTAACAGATACTCCAGCTTCCCATCCAGGAGGATTTGATGTAAGAGAGAGGGTGATAATGGATGAGGAGAGAGGGTGATAGTGGAAGGAGAGGGGGTGGTGGAAATAGTAAGGGGACAAGTGAGGAGGCGGACAGAATCTGGAAATTGATTTGTACAGGGCTGGAGGAACTAAAGAAAGGAAGGAGTCATAGAGAACTGTTGCAGCCAAAATGAGTGTGAGCATGGTAAAGATCTATTTCAGACATTGGATGAAAGGATGTAGAGAAGAGGATTCTTATTGTATCAGGAAGGGGGAAAAAGGAAAAAAAAAAAGAAAAAGAAAAAAAAGATTTGAAGTGGAAAGGCTAATCTCGAACATTGAGGGAGATTTAGAATTTAGTGGTAGAGGGGATAGGAGGAAGGGCCTAAAATAAGGAGACAAAGGCTTCTTCATGGGTGTTTTGCTATTATTGTCTCGATGAAAATTATTAGCTGGAATGTAAGAGGTCTAGGGAGTGCAAGAAAGAGAAGGGTGATCAAAGACCTACTCCAAAGGGACAAACCTGACATTGTGCTTTTACAAGAATCCAAACTGATGGAATTAGATAGGAGATGGGTTAGGAATTTCTGGAGGTCTTGAGGTGTAGGTTGGACTTCAGCTCCTTCTTGGGGAGCCTCGAGGGGGATTGTAACACTGTGGAGGGAGGACGTGGTGGAAGCAATGGAAGAATTGATAGGAAGATTCTCCATTTCCATTAAGTTCAAGAATGTAGAGGATGGGTGTGTATGGGTTCTAACCAATGTTTATGGCCCTAACTCCTATAGAGAGAAATAAAATGTCGGAGGAATTACATGCAATCAAGGGGTTATGGGATGGCCCTTGGTGCCTGGGTGGGGATTTTAACGTCACTAGATTCTCTAAAGAAACCAATAATCCCCAACAGGCAATCACAACAAGCATGAGGAAATTTAATGGTTTTATTGAAGATTGTGAGTTGAAGGAAATACCTCTGTTGCAAACCAATTATACTTGGTCCAACCTTCAGGAAACCCCTTTTTTGTTCAAAGTTAGAGAAATTTTTATTTAATCTAGTCTGGGAGAACAGTTTGGAAAATTTGGTTACTAGAGCATTACCTAGGGTCACCTCTAATCATTGTCCTGTCCAAATAGGCACTGAGTCTCTTCCTATTGGACCCAAACCGTTTAGATTTGAAAATATGTGGCTTACCCATCCAGATTTTGTGAAAAAAGTGAAGGAGTGGCGGGGTGAGGAGGTGAGGGGGATAAGATGGAAGGGGGTCAGGTTTCATAAGAAGTTGAAGAGGTTGAGAGCCTAATCTCTCAAATAAAAAACTTGGATGTAAAAGAATCCCAAAATGGTTTGACCGCGGATGATAGAGTGTTAAGGAGACGATTGAAAAAGGATCTGGAATAGGTGTTATTGAGGGAAGAAATCAGTTGGAAACAAAAAACTAGACACAAGTGGATTAAGGAAGGCGATGGGAACACTAGATTTTTCCATGACTTGGCCAATGAGAGACGAAGAAAAAGTTTTGTAACCAAACTAGATATAGAAGAGGAGGTGATTACCAACCAAGATGGCATAGCCAAAAAAACTTGTGGACCACTTCAAATCAATCTATAGAAGACCTTTGAATGAGAGAGCAATCGTGGAAGGAGTGGAATGGCCAAGACTTGAGGACGGAATGGCAAGGTGGTTGGAAAGGAATTTCGAGGAATAAGAGATTAAGAAAGTTTTCTTTCTAATCGATAGATCCAAGGCTCTAGGTCCAGATGGCTTTACAATGGCTTTTTATCAAGATTGTTGACARGTGCTAAAAGAGGATTTAGCTGAAGTCTTTAAGGAATTTGCAGACAATCATGTAATAAGCCCTAGAATCAATGCCACTTTTTTGGCCTTGATCCCTAAGAAGATTGATGTCAACCACCCAAAAGATTTTAGGCCTATTAGTCTGGTGACAAGCATCTATAAAATTCTGGTTAAAGTGCTTTCTTTGAGGATCAAAACAATTCTCCCTTCTATCATCAGTGAAACTCAAGGGGCATTCATTCAAGGGCGACAAATAACATATCAGATTCTAATTGTTAATGAGTGTGTGGAGGAAATGAAAAGGTCTAGGCAAAGAGGTTTTGTTTGTAAATTGGATCTTGAAAAGGCCTATGACTTGAAGACTGTGAGTTTTTATTAGAGGTGATGGGAAGTTGTGGATTTGGGGACAAGTGGTGTAGCCAGATATTTGGGTGTATTAGTACCTGTCACTACTCTATTTTGGTAAATGGTATGGTGAAGGTTTTTTTCCAACTTGCAGGGGCGTCAAGCAAGGGGATCCACTCTCTCCCTTCCTTTTTACCTTAGTAGCAGATTTGATTAGTAAGATCATTACCAAGGCCGATAAAGAAGATGCCATTAGGGGTTGGAGAATAGGGAAACACCAAATCCCAATCACCCACCTTCAGTTTGTAGATGACCTAATGATCTTTTGTGAAAGAAGTTTTAGCGAGAAGGTAACAAACCTAAAGAGCTAATCAAAGGATTTGAAAGGGTTTCTAATCTGAAAATAAATGTGGAGAAGAGTTGCATATTGGGTATAAACTTGGAGGTTGGAGAGATTGAGATTATTGCGGAGTGTCTTGAGTGTTCCATCTCTTCTTAGCCTATGTCTTACTTAGGGCTTCCATTTTGGGCCCCAGTGCTAGAAAAGTTTGAGAAGAGATTAGCTTCATGGAAGAAGAATTTCATCTCTTTGGCAGGGAGAATCACCTTAATAAGAGCTACTTTGGCTAACTTACCCACTTACTTTCTGCTTGTTTTTAGTATACCACCTAGGGAAGCTAGGAAGCTAGAGAAGTTGATGAGAGACTTCTTGTGGAAGCTGGGACAACATAAAAATGATCATTTGGTTAAATAGGAAATTGTTTGCTAAAGTAAAGAAGAGGGGGATTTGGGACTTGGGAGGGTGATTGAAAAAAATCAAGCTCTGTTAGGGAAATGGTTGTGGCGATGGCCATTGGAAAGTGAGAGGCTATGGCATAAGGTGGTGAGAAGCATTCATGGGAGTTCAAAGAATGGATGGGATGTTGGTGTGTCAAGGAAGGCTAACCTGGCAGCACCTTGGAAGGCCATTGACAACACATTTCCTCAATTTCTCAATTTTATCAGGTATGAAGTTTGTATTGGCAATGTCATTCACTTTTGGGAGGATATCTAGGTAGGAGACACCCCTCTAAAGGATCTTTTCCCTTTGTTATTTTCTGTTTCTTTGTATAAAAAAGAGGTGGTCTCAAAATTTGTCTCACCCTCGGGAACACCCTTGGCTGCTAATTGGGATTTTGGGTTTCATAGGGAACTAAGGGATGATAAAATTGAATCTCTCTCTGACTTGCTATGTTGCCTTRATCAGGTTTACTCGGATCCCTCCAAGCCAGATAAAAGGGTGTGGGCTCCTAGACCCAAAGGAACCTTTACTTATGCTTCTTATTTCAAGTCCATCTCTCATTCTTCTACTCGACAACCCTTTCCGTCAAAGGAAATTTGGTCATTTGGTGTAGGCCAGTTCCCCCAAAGATTATGGCATTTTGTTGGAAGTATTCCATGGGAGATAGCCTACAAAAGAGAAGACCTTTCCTTTGTATTTCTCCCAACTAGTGTATCCTCTACAGAGCTCGCGGGGAGAATTGTTACCATCTACTAATATCTTGTCTATTTTCTACAGACCTTTGGGCTTAGCTACTTTCATTGTTTGGTAGTTGGAGCTTACCAGCAAAAGTTCACATTAACTTTGACCATTCTACTTTCTCTTGGCCTACAAAAAGAGAGAGACTTGTGTGGAAATGCACTCGCGTTGCCCTGATTTGGACTCTTAGGGAAAAAGAAATGCTAGAATTTTTCAACAAAAGGAAAGGGGCAATCAGGAACTGAAAGACTGTGTGTTGCATAGAGCAATACTTTGGATGAAGACTTTGGAAATCTTCCATCAATTCTCTTTTAATGACCTTAGAAGAAATTGGTCAGCAGTAATGAGGTATTCACCCTTAAAGGACAAGTTAATTACAAGCTGGTCTCCTCCATCTGAAGTCTCACTGAAGTTGAACCTTGATGGAAGTAGCATGGGTAATCCAGGATTATCCGGAATGGGGGTGTTCTGAGAAATGAGAATGGAGAAATTGCCTTGCTTTGCTCAGGTCCTTTAGGAGTTAGAGAATCTATCAGGGCAGAGCCATTAACTTCTGTACAAGGGGTGCAATTTGCAAACCAGCTAGGGGTACAGCATCTGATAATTGATGGGGATTCCAAGGTGGTGGTAGGTTGGTTGAATATTCCTAAAGATGCTATATGGTGCTACAAGAACGAAATGAAGAAATTCAGTTGGTTGACAAGGAATATGTTGGTCTCTTTACAGTGGGTGGGGAGATAAACAAATACTTTGTCCGATGTGTTGGCCAAGCAAGAGGTAAATAGGAAAGAATTGTTTTGGGCTCAGCTGTGATTCRTGTATTTTTTTCCTAGTTTAATTGTAAGATTCTAGGAGGGGCTGCAGCTTGCGCCTCTCCCTTGGATGTTGTATGAAATCACAACTCTAAATCAGTTTTTTAATTAATAAAATTTTACGATTACTCATCAAAAAAGAAGGTAAAGGTATTGATCAAAAAAGAAAGAAGGTAAAGGCACATTAATCATTTTATCTCACAATATAACTCACCAATATTTTAAATATATGAAGTGTAGCAGGTTAGAGATACTCTTTTAATGTACAACTCACAAGATATTGGACATAAAATATTGTAGTATATCTAGACCTTGAAGAGAAGCAGGCGGAGGCATCTCATCCATTGACTGTTTAGGCTGTCTCCTTCGCTCTTCATGTGCAGCCTTCTTCATGTAGAATTCCATCATTGCTATAGGATCTGTAGCTGTCGAGGCACTGGATTCACCTGCAAGGAGACACCATGTGCAATATTGATATTACAAGTCTGCACTAAATGCCACAACCTCTTCTAGGGAAGAGACAGAAGACAGATAATCATGAGTAGGTACAGACTTTCATAGCAAAGTCAATGACCAAAGAGATAAATATTCTGTTGCAATTCCTCTCATGAATCTACCATGTCTTCTTTCTTCTTTTCTTTCCCTTGTTGCAGGAGGAGAAGGAGAGACACAAAAAGAAGTGCTACAAAACCAAGGAAGAAAAAGAGACAAACCTGGGCAATTCCTCAAGGCAATAACAAAAGAAACAAGAGAAGAGAAACGAGAGCAAGGGAGAAAAACAATTTAAGCCCAACGAAAACCCTTGTTTAACCAGGGCAGTGTTATCAAAGCATCAACTTGTCAATGACTAGTCAACCAAATCAATTGAGAATTGATGGCCACCAATTGCATCATTAACCAGTCAAATCATAACCAATGATGCACTCACCTAATACAACTAAGAATCAAAGAAGTTCAATAGATTGACTAATAACTAGTTGGCCTAGTTAGGGACAAACTTATTATAAAGTTTTATTTCGAACTATTAAAAATGGTAAACCATATGCCTTTATGTTGTCATTTCATACAAACTGATTCAAGAAGTGGTGATAGCAATATGACATGTAGATTGGTGATGAAAGGTGGAAAAGTTAATTATGTTTTCCTCCAACTAAAACGTGTGCCTATTATGGAGTTGCAACAAACAAGAGCAACACATCAGATAGATAATGGTTTATTCTGTTGAAAAGTAAAAGTTTTCATTCTCCATCTTGGCCTTTCCAGCTACTTTTTTATATTTGCAAAACTAAGGCCCTGTTTGGTTCACGGGAATAGAGGTCTGGAATCGGAATTGGAATGGGCTATTCAGATTCCAACTGTTTGGTTGGCCAGAATCGGAATATCATTCCCATTCCTGCTGGAATGGCCATTCCCTGCCCCTCCCTTGGGAATGAAATCCCATTCCTGCTGATTTTAAATCCCATTCCCATTCTWGTATGAACCAAACAGACTATGGGAATGGACCATTCTGATTCCGATTCGACTATGAACCAAATGGACCCTAAGATTGTAATAAATGCAATATTTTAAAACGCAGGGGACAATTTGGCCTGAGGCGCAAGGCAAGGCGCATACCTTTTTGAAGCAAGGCGCAAAAATACAAAAAATAAAAAAAAGTCAGAAAATTCAAAAAATGCCAATTTTTTCAAAAATGAAAAAAAAAACAAAAAAAAAACATTGAACACAATATTAATAAAAGTATAAACTTAAATTTTAAAATAAATGTTTTAAAAAAAACCTATTATCTAAAATTAAAATATATAAGCATAACATGTAAGGCATATTCAAATGAAATTTTAAAAACAAAATCAAACATATAAAACATTTTCAAGCATGTAAAACCAAGAATCTCTGTTTTTTTCCTCAATTGCATTACTTCAAGTAGCTAATGTGATGTAAAACATATTGCATTCCTAATTCTATGAGCTGTCTTTGTACCAAGCCCCTCAAGGCAAGCCCAAACAAGTCCATGTTAGGATTTTAAATTCTTAATTCTCACACAAAAAATAATRAAATTGCCTTTTAAGAAGATATTTTATTAGAATGAATGAATGAACAACATTAAGAAATAGGGGGTTCTCAGAGTTTCGGTGAGCGAGCAAAGCATAAAAAGAAGCCCCTCGAGGGGCATGGTTAGGGGTCTGAGGGCGGCCGCTAGGTTCAAAAAAAAACAAAAAAAGCGTAAAAATTTAAAAAGGTGCATGCCTAGGCTAAGGCACAAGGCACATCAGGCGTGCGCCTTTTGAAAGTATTGCACCTAGAACCTAGGAGAGGCGCATATCCTAAAATGCGCCTAGGTACGCCTTTTAAATCATTGAATAAATGTTCTATGCTATATCTTTATTTGCACTACTGTAGCCTTCATTAACATATAAAATTTACAACATTGTGCTTTAAAAGAGTAAGGTGCAAGAAAAGCTCAAACATCTCGTAGTTGCCTTACCTCATGTAGCTGGTGTGATGTCAAACATCTTGCATTCATACACCTAGGAAAATTGATTGTCCACCTCTATAAAAACCACATGAGCTAAACCCAAACAAGTCCATGCAGGGATTTGGGGCAGTGCCCCTAACCTAAACTCTTTGGTCCATACACGTAAAAGGGTTAAGAGGCCATTGACCATCCCAGCTATTTGGGGTGGTCTTGGGAGGGGTGGACTGGATGCAGTCCTAACCTTTGGACTTTTTTTGCACAAAGTGGCCACTCAAAGACTCAAACACACGTTCTCAAACTTGACAACCCAAGGTTTTATCATTAAAAGGGTTGGTTTTTTATTTTAGTCACAGTTTATTATATTTTAGAATTATGGATCAAATATTAATTGTGTTTTGTTGCTTCTTTAGTGGAAATTTTGACATTTGAGACCCCACATGCAAGAACTAAGTTTTCTTTTGCTTATTTTAAAAGCCAATAGACCATTATTAGTGTATAAACAACAATAGAAGATAATTTAGAAGTTGACAAACCATTACAAAAAGGTGTAAAACACATAAAAATCTACAAATAAAAACCCAAAAAAATGCATTTAAAAAAGATRCATGCTTGGGCTGAAGTGCTAAGCACGTCAAACAAGCACTCTCAAAAGGGGTTGCAGCTGCACCTGGGTTCAGGTGAGACACATGCCCTAAGATATGCCTCACCTATGCACCAAGGCACACCCAATGTTTTAAAAGCGCAAGGGCCAATTTGCACCGGAGGCGCAAGGCGAGGTGCACACCTTTTTAAGAAAGGCGCAAAATTACAAAAAAAAGGCTAAAAAATAAAAAAAAAAAAGTCGGAAAATTCCAAAAATGCAAAARAAATAAAAAATATTAATGTTAATAAAAATATAAACTTAAATTTTAAAATAAATGATTTAAAAAACCTATTATCTAAAATTAAAATACACAAACATAACATGTAAAGTGTATTCAAACGAAAGTTTAAAAATAAAAGCAAACATATAAAGCATTTTCAAACATGTAACCACAATCTCTTTTTTCCTTAATTGCATTGCTTCAAGTAGTTAATGTGATGTAAAACATATTGCATTCTTGATTCTATGAACTACAGCACGCCCCTTGAGGCAAGCCCGAACAAGTCTATGTTGGGGTCTGAAATTCTTATTTCTCACATAAAAAATAATGATTTTACAACTTTCATGGCCTTTTAAGAAGATATTTTATTGCAATGAATGAATGAACAACATAAGCAAATAGGGGGTTCTCTCCGCTCCGGGCAGAGCCCCTGGCCCAGCCGTTAAACTCAAAAAAAAGCAAAAAGCGCAAAATTTTCAAAAGGTGCACGTCTGGGCTGAGACGCAAGGTGCAAGGCGCACGCCTTTTGAAAGAGGTGCGCCTAGGACCTAGGCAAGGTGCATACCCCAAAATGCGCCTCGCCTGTGCGCCTAGGTGCGCTTTTAAATCACTAGGCACACCTTTTAAAACACTATTAGAACATATCTTCTATGTAGTCAACCAGCAAGCCCCTAGGCAGCAACTATTCACTACATCATCATGGGATGCCAAAATGACTAGCCATTCCCTCATCACATTGACAACACTTCAGTAGATAGAAAAATCCAGTAGAAAAAATGGTGAACTACTCAAATTTTAAAAGAAGCAAAACATACCATAAATAGTTCTTCCTGCTGACGCTGACTGAATTGGTCTGTTAGCATTGGCTTCATATAAAGCTGATGCTGGAATTTGGTAATTAGAGTGCTGCTGATGGGATCTTTGAGAACTTGAAGCTCTAGAAGCTGAAGAGATTGTACTGGCTGAACTTAAAAGGAAAGAAACATTATTAATACAACTCAAAGTAAGGTAGACAGAAGAAACTTTAGCAGGGAAGAAGAAGAAGAAGACACTAAGCATATAAACAACTGCAATTGGTGTGGCAAAACTGAAATACTAAATAAAAAGCACAGAGATGAGAAGCCCCTCTTTTGGCATCACATTGCATATGTAAGACAGGTCCAGAAAAGAGAGAGTATGTTGTCCAGACATGAGAATTTAAAGAGGTACCACTTTTATATGATCTATTAAACATACTATAGTGTCAGAACCTTTTTTTTAATCAATTGTCAGAACCTTCATTACATTATATGCACGATGCATCCATTTTATCCATCTGTAGCTTGTCAATGTCTACCAATTATTGTGAAAAAGGTACATAGAACCATACAAGAGAACCCATTGAATTAGTCAAAAAAAAGAGGTAGAACCATTGGGGGAGAGAGCAAAGTTCAACACATAATGGTCATATTACAAATTTACAGTCAGTACCTCATACAAACCTGTAGTGAATATCAAKCAAGCAAACTAATGGCTTCAAATATACTTGTCAGTTTGATACCTCATCTCATGGTTTTGAAATCCAGGCAGAAACAGAACCATTTTGACCACTGGTTCCTGGGTCAAACAGCCTGGCCATCTGGTTTGAAGCCTGGTCAGGAGGTTTTGGGGTCCAAAACCAGACCGGAACCATAATCATTCATGGATCAACTGGTTCAACCAGCCAGTCCGGTCTGATTTTCAAAACCATGCTTCATCTTTAACCCATGTTCTGAGTTAATCGAATTAGTGGTCCCAAATTCTACTCTACCGAAAACATTTATGTATCAGCATGTCTCACGACTTTTTTCTCAGAAAGCATTTTGCAGAAACTAGAGAACTTGAATATAAATAAATGTTGGCTTTCCCATTAAAACCAAACTCTAGTTCTTTCAACAAAATTGTTTTGACTTTTGAGACATCTGTCTGACACATTCAATAAAATCAATGCATGATTAACAGTACCATTAAAAAAGGAAACAACTTAACCCATTGGGAGGTTGGACCATAGGATTTGTGGTACTAACCACTACATGATGATTGAGAATCCCTTGTCTGTGCAAGAGCTTTTTCTTCCTCCATAAGCCGATACTCGTAATATTTGTAATCCGCACAGCTAACATCAAATAGAAATCTGAAAAGGCACAATATAGCAAATAAGCAAACACAATAATCATTAACAGGAGAGGCATAAAGAATTGGTAAAAACATAAACACCATATAATCTTGAAATCATGACCATCAGACTCAGGAACATACTTAAAAGGTGTATCTCCAGGATTTCTTTGGCGTGTAATGTGCTCAAATTGCCTTCCATTTTTTGCCACAAAACTTGCTAATTTGTCAGCAACTTTCTCCACAGCAGGATCACTCGGGGAAGGTGGTGCTGCATGTCACTTAAAGAACTGATTAATACCAAGAGCATGAACAAGGGAATGCAAATTACTCTTGTAGCAGGCGTGCCACATTTTCCAATTCTTTCATTCAACATCTCTTTCCACCCAAGTCGATAGAGACTTAAGACATAAGCTGCATTCATGAGACAAGAAACCTTCAAGAATGTCCTGTTCCCATCTTCCCCAGGCTAAGAAGAAGACATAAATCCCAAGATGAATTGAAAAGGAACTGAATTGCAGAACTGATAGGTGTCCTTGCAGCAAAAAAAATGGACAAGAGAAAATGATAATTGTACTGGTGCTGATATTGAAGCATGGAAAGAATTCATGGAGAACAAAATCAATCTCCTAGGTCACAGTTCAGGTATCCAGCTTTTGGTTCTAAAATAAGATGTTGGTGAATTGGATCCATATGGGACTCGTCTAAAAGGAGAATCATACTTTTTAAACCATGTTACTTGTTATCCAAAAGAAATAGAAGCCTACACTGATGGACCTGGCCATCAGTATGATGAAAACTACAAGTCCTCAAATGTTGCAATGTCAATTAGCATCAAAGAATAAATTTTTCATCTTCAAGAAAAGGGATGTTGTAGAAAGAGTTTGTTTAAGAATCTACAAATTCAAGACCGTAGGGAAGTTATAGATTCACCTACTTTCCTATGTGTTTCAAAAATAAAACTGGGTAGGGAAAGTCATTTTATGTGCTTCATTTGTCCAAGCCTTTACTTCTTCCATGCATACAGAAACTATGTAGAAGAAGTCATTTAAATGCTGCAGTTCAAATTTCAAAATTTTTCTTTTTGTACAAACCTTAGATGGGATAGAAGGATTTAAGTGCTAGAGAGGAAGAGAGAGTGAATTTGTTATGCCAACTAAACCAAATAAAAGGATATGAATACAAGCAGTAATTACCAACACCCTCTTGTTCTGCAGGCCACTCAGAGGCATCTGGTTGAGCCAACTTCTGTCGTTTCACTGATCCATCAGCAGAACCATATCCTGCATCTCCTTCTTCATCTTCATCTGCACATAATCTAACAGGGGCTGCCGCAAGCTTTGACTTCTGTTTCAAGCTAAATGCAAGTTTCCCACCTGAACCAGAAGGGGTGGCTCTTCGTGCGTCATTTGCTTTAGAATCCAAGACCATTTTACTAATGGGAGGATTGGCCTTCAAATTCCCAGATGCACATGCACTTGTGCCTGATTTAGATTGCTCCAATGCAGCTTCCTTTTCCTTTTCTTGTTGAAGCTGTTTAAACCTTTCCATAAAAGAACCATCATTGACAAATAAACTAGAAGCCACGTTTTTATCCATGTGGGAGAAAGCCAAAATCTGTTTAAGCCCGTTAATGGAAACCAACGGCTTTCGAGAAGCAAAGCTGTCCAAATAATTTAGGCTCCAAATTGTAACTCCATACGCTGATCCTTGTAATTGAGAACGGGCTGCATTCCTTAAGCTTCAAATCAGAAGAAGACTAACTCCCATGCATTGGAAGAATAATATTTATAAAATTTCATGAAAAGAAAATGAAAAAGTGAGCAACCAATTGATCAATTAAAGCACAGAGTTAGCTGCTTCATATATTGAATACCACCAAAATCCAGAAATGGGGGATAAAGCTTTTCTGTAGCAATGGATAACTAAAAGTCCAAAACCACCGATTTCTTTCCCATTTTTCCAATGGAAAGATCAACACATCAACCAGGTAAGTGTTCGTCCCTTATCGTTAGCAAGGAACCGAAATTATTATTTGTCGAAGAAAATCAAAGCCCCTGATATAAAATCAAGAAAAAAATAATCCACTATATGGGTAGATTAAACAGGAATTAAAAACCAGAAAAACGATCAATCGTCATTAGTAAAATTGTACAAATACAAGGAGATTGAGCCCAACAAAGTCTAACAAAGGCTATATTTGTTTGAACGATCCTTAAAGGGAACAAGTGCAAACTAAAGAAAATAAAAGAAAATAAAGTAAAAAAGAACGGACAGAAAAGGCCGAAAACCAAAAGATAGCATGGAAATTGCAATCGACAAATCCCTAAGATGAAAGACTGACAGAAATGTAGATAAAACCGTTATTCAGGAAGTAATGAACCAAAATCAAATCCTATAACCCTCTTTAATTTAGTCATGAATCTTGCCACTAAGTCCTGGTTTTAAAGGGAGAAGAGAAAAGTGAAGAAAGCCAATAATGCAATCTAAGATTTAACCCAAAAAAAAACTCTCATCATACCTCTTCGTTGCTGGACTAGAACAACATAGTCCTGAATGATTCGACTTGCCCTAAATGGGGGATGAGGCGATGAGCTATTGCCCTCCGTCCGTCCGTCCAGAATGAACAGGTGAGAGAACCGCAAATTTCCTCCGCAGAGTCATCACTCGGAATGGTGCGAGGTTTATATACAGAAGCGGAATCATACTCTGGATTCAATGAACCCATCACGTTCACATCCTTCTGGCCGAACTGCTAACCCATTGACCCGGACAGAAAAGCGGTTCATCCTTGCAGTCGGGTTTAAAACAATAATGCAGCTGGCTGAGGAGCCAATAATACCCAACGGGTTAGGTAAATGCAATGGCTGTGCAACTCTGGCGGGTTAGGTAAATGCAATGGCTGTGCAACTGGCTGCAAGGAATTTTAAGTAACATCCCATAAAGTTACTTTCCTTCTAGCTCAAAGTGTACCAAATCAATATTTCATTTCAAGTGTTGGGGGAAATAAGAATTTGACGTTTCCCCAAATATCCCATGTACATAAATCAAAGTATTTTAATTTTTTAGGGCTCATTCAATAACTAAAAAGGCTCATCACCGAAGTGGTATCGTACCACTTTCAGCAATAAAAGGCGTGTTCGATAGGTTTGAACCACTGCTTTCAATCTATCGTTAACCAAGTTAGTTAAATCGTCCAAACCGTCACCCAGCCAAGATTCTGGGTCCAATTCAATCAAGATCTGTCATACGATCAAAAAATGTTGACTTGGGCAAGAACGTTAGACCCAGTGACCAAGTCGCGGGTTGCACACTCAATGCATGCAAAACTTTTGGAGGCCATAACTTTGCACTCCAATGTCTAATTGGGGTGATTCTTTTCTGTTTTGGGTAATTTTTCAAGATCTATGTGTCCCAAGGAGCCATAGGCACCTTGCCCTGCTATTTGTTTGGARAAAAACCCTTTTTTAACCTCAATTTGCAATTTTTAATATTTTTATAAATAAAACATTAAAAAGTGAACTAAAAAAATAATTAAATATAAAATAATGCATATAACATATCTAAACATATTTGTACACATATATATGTGTATATAAATATATATAATTAATATATATATGCGATGATGTGGCACGATTTGAACCGTTCGTCCCGGCCGGTCGAACCAGTGACCCACGACCAAGAGGCAAAAATGGTTCGGCCTCCGGTTAGTTTTTAAAACATTGGACTGAACACTAAAGACCTATAATGACATGTTACGGATGACCAACAAATATATTCGCCCATCCAAAAGACTAGTTTACCCCTTCAATGTCCCATTTATAAAATGGTAGACACACATAACCCACCACCCCCACTGGTTGCTTACAAAATCGCCCAAGTTCGTGTGTTGTGTACTTGCTTGGCTAGAGAAGACAATATATGTTGCCATTGAAGGAGAGGAGATTTGTTGCTACCAAAAAAAGACATTGCTCTAGATCGTTGCCTTTTCCATCAATTTTGCCCATCAAATTTGCTCTAAACAAGTACGTCAATCTTCATTTTCATTAAAAACATCATGGTAGATTGTATGTTACTAGAGATGGGAATCACAAGGTCAGCAATGGTCTCTTTTTCGGCCATTTGTTCGATTGTCCCCACATCTATGCATTGTCAACGTGCAATAATCACTGCACAAAAGTTGGGTGCAACATTTGTCCATTAAATACTTGTGTTGTTTTTGGTGTCAAGAGATTGAAAATAACCTCTTGACCATTTGATTTTTATGATGGGCATGGTTTGTTTGATCAAACCAGATCGACTCGCTTTGAAATATTAGATATGGTCCGTTCGTTATTTGGATGGAAATAATATCGGCCGAACCACTTTTTTCTAAAACCTATTTCAGTTCAACCAACCTATGTATAATACGAGAAAATTAATTTAAAAAATCCRAATACATTACTTGAACCAATCTATTTCGGTTCAAAACAAACAAATATCTGAACCGAGTGGCCTAATAAATATAATATTTGAATGTAACATATATAATATTATGTAATATATAAATATTATAATTTATATATAATACTATAATTTATATTATTTAATTATAGATTTTATTACATTATATATATATAGATGTGTGTGTATGTGTGTATTTATATATACTTGTACATATATAACTATTTATAGAGAGATTGTATTGTAAAAAGTAAAATGGTAATAAAAATATTAAAATAAAAATTATTAAAAAATTGTATTGTATTGTTAAAAAAATTAAATAATAATTATATAACACTTATAATATAATATGTGTATATATTTTATTATATTATATATGTATATATATTTGTATATATACATACATATAATATATAATATAATATAAAAGATATTTATGTATATATATATATATATATATATTCTATTACATATATATACATATTATATTTATTTGCACATATATATAATTATATATAGATATTATATTATAAAAATAACAAATATATAAAATCTAAAAAGCTATTGATAAAAATATGATTAATTATACTATATACATTAGATAATATTATATAACATATACAATAAACTACTGTATATATTTTATTATATTATTTATATATATATGCATTTATATATTTGTACATATATAATTATATATAGAGATTATATTGTAAAAATTAACAACAATATAAAAAGTCACAAGGTAATAAAAATATAATAAAATATTAAAAAATGGTAATATGATATATGTTAGCAAAAAGTAAACAAATGGCTAATATAATAGAATATATTATATACTATATTTTATATTATTTGATTATATATGTAGGGAGGATATATTAGGCTAGGTTGGGGGGAGACGGTCTCTTCAAAAGACGAGGGAAAGCCTGCAAGGAAAGTCAACCAAGCTCCTTTTCTTGATATCAGAATAAGGAGAAGAAATCTTCTCTCGAAGAACAACGGGGGTTCGAGGATATTAGTGATGAGAAATGCTCTGGATTTGATGATTCCCATCGCAAAGAGGACCTTCTATTTATACAAAAGGTCCCAAGATCCTAAAAGGTAGGAGATGAAGATCTTCACTTCCTATCGGGAAAGGGAATATATTGTTCATTGGTAATTATTGGGTACACTACTGGGCGTCGCCACGTGTTTCATGAAGATACTCTCAAGGATCAGTTTTCCTTATTCCCGAGATCCCTCATTACTCACGTGTGCTACTACCCTTTTACGTGCCACAATTAATCCTACGTGGAGACGATGACGTCATTGTCCGAAGGTCGGTATCTGTTAATGCTGCGTGGCGATTTGCAAAGTACCTCATTGTAATAGGTTTGTGTGTGTTTGGGCACAAACAAGCCTCACCATGGGCTCGGCCCATTGTCCTCCCCAACCCGCTAATCAGAATGGGTTCGCAGGCGATGAGTTTCCCGCACACCGCCACGAGTGTGACTTCATCGCGTGCTTGAATGTGCTTAGGTCTTGTAGGCAAGTCTTTTTTAGGCTTGTTTGGGTTTGGGTGTTGACTAGACTTGGTGGGTTGCGATCTTATCATGGTTCTGCTTAGCATGTTGCAGGTTCATTGCAATAGTCGTGATGGACCGTCGGTTTATCACAGCATGGAGAATTGACTATAGACTGCTTCTAAGTGTTTCTGTGGTATTATCCTTAGTGTCTGAGTACTCTTTGAGGGTCTGAGTGAGCTGTACACACCTACATTAGCCCCCTGCTTATCGATAAGCATATTGCCCTTGTTTTGAATTATGTGGTGATTTCATTGGGTCTGGTGTTTTTGCTTGACACGTGATTTTGTATAAATCACGTATACCCTATGTTTGTGCTTGGTGGCTTATTACAGTCTAAGGCTTAGCCTCCTTGTCTTTTGGTGATTTTTTTTCTAGCAATAGTCAGTGTTGTTGTGTAAATTGCTTATTTTGGTCCCCCCTTAATGTTGTCAAGAAGGAAATCACCAAAAGATAACTAGGTTTAGGGTTGTGGATGCGCCTATTTGACTACTCCATTGGAGATGATTTGGTGATTAAGTTGCGGCTGTGATCATTATTTCGCTTATGTCGATGTGACAGGTGACATATGCGTCGCTCGGGTTCCCGCTGGCTAAGTGACTGTGCTAGGTGTATCAATGCGTCTAGTTACGTGTGTCAGGGCGTTCTATCTTCTTGCAGGCGTACTAACGAGTGTTTAGTTCCTTTTGTTGGGTTGTAGGCCGCCTATAAAAAGGTGCAGAGTGTCCTGTTTCGTATCACTACTAGTGCTTAATCTGCTTTTCTTGTTTTTGTATACCACTTCTTCTTCTCTTTCTATATTCGCGGTTGGGGATGGCTCTTAATCAATAATGATGCACAAATGCCCATTAACGAATCTATGGGTTTCAACTCGTCGTCTCCAATGGAGTCAGCGTTGTCTCTAGAGTACGGCATGGTCCGCTAGCTGCTTAGGCAGTACTGTGGGGAGAATGTTATAGCCCCCTTGGGGTATGATGTTGTCGACAGGTACCTGTTCATGGCGTTCGTCCGCGAGACAAGTTTGTAGTGACAAGGAAAATAGTGAGATTTGCGGAGGTGGTTGTTTGGTTTGGTTGGCTGCCTCCGGTGGAGCTGCCCTCCATCATTGTTAGTTCGGCGTTGAATACGCTCACGTCAGTGATGTCCGAGATTATGAACCACCCCTGTGACCAAATTTTGTGCCCAATCCTAGCACAGTGGCTGAGGACTTGTGAAAGTCTCTCCACGATTGATTTCCATGTCGCAGAGGTTGAGGAACGTGTCATTCGACTAGTGCACATATTTTGGAGGGCAGGTCTCGGGGATTCACCGTTGGTTTATGGGCGATCTTTAGCGGATGTGCGCCGTCACGTGGAGGCAGCAGAGGCAAGACTATCCATAGCTGCGAGGAGTCTCGCGGACCTGGAGGCACGGTGTGCTTATCAGCGTTGCATGGTGGCAGAGTGCGAGGCGAAGATAACTGAGCTTACAGCGTATGAGACTCGGGAACCTCTACTTTGGGATATTGAAGCGGTGAGGGATGAGTGGACCGCTTGATAAATACTGTATTTTGTTTGCACATATGTAAATTACTTTTTGAATGAAATCAATGAGATTCTCTTCGTCCCGATGTACTTAATTTGCTGTCATTTTTGTATTGCATTGTGCTTTAAGAGAGGGTTGTA